TGCTTAGCATCTCTTGGCAGAGATCAGGTCCCCATAAAAAAAAGTCAAGCGAAGATAAATCTGACCGGGCCATCAGATAGGACTTCTTCGGCTTATCCAGCGCTCATTAAATCTTTGGTCCAAGTAATTGTTTTTTGAAGATTAAAATATATATGTGTAATTGAAATAAATTTAATTTTCCCATTTATATGTTTGTTTTTTTATTAAAATCATAAAATTCCTATTTTGTACTCTGTAATATTAAAACGAAGCGTCGTAGAGAAAAACATTATTAATAAAATATGTTTGTTTTTATGTCCTCTATTTCCCCTCAAAGTTTGTCGGTCTAATTTTTTTACACCCTGTATATATTGTACGATTTTACGTGATAATGCACTCATCTTCTTTAATTAATCATTAAAAATCTATGTGATTATTTACAAAATGGTAGAGGACCATTTTGTTCAATTTGATCTAAAGTATAAGTACACGACGGCAGTCGTCGCTATTATAACTCATTTACCATATCCTGCATCCTGATCATTCACAAATTTTCTACAATTAATATCTCGATAATTATTGCGAATATCGCAAAACGGTATAGGACTTTTATGTTCACTTCTTGTTCTATGTCCCCACAAAATGCCCGGAGGAGAGTGTGAGACACCCTGTATGTGTATATATATACAGGGTGTCTCGCGTAAGACGGACCAAAAGAGAAATATAAATAGAACACATAAAAGTAAACAAAAATTGTATAGGTCATTTTTCAAACAACCACGTAAAATTTCGAGATATTAATTAAAATAGTTGGACAAATTAGAACGCGCGACGTGATAGGCGGGACATACGGCTCACAGCGGCCGGCGAAGAAAATGGATGATTGTTCGCGGGGCTATCTTATAGGCCAGAGAGGTGGGCCGTTTGGCATATGGAAATGGGTAGCTCCGTGTGTGCGTCCGTGTACGTGTGCGCTTGTCCATTTTCTTCGCCAACCGCTGCGAACCATATGTCCCGTCTGTCGCGTTGCGCGTTCTAATTTGTCCAACTATTTTAATTAATATCTCAAAATTTTAGGTAGTTGTTTGAAAAATGACCTATACAATTTTTATTCACTTTTATGTGTTCTATTTATATTTTTCTTTTGGTCCGTCTTACGCGGGACACCCTGTATATATATATATATATATATATATATAT